GATTTCCTCCCCCCCCACCTCCCTCCATTGCAGCTATCTTGGAGTAAGGTGGCTGGAGGAGGTTGACTAAGTCATTGGAAATTTCCTTTTATCTCCATTGATAAAGATTTCTCTTTTTAACAAGCAGCACACTTGGTAGTTAGAATTTATTATTTTAACTCCTTCAACACAAGATTTATCTCCTTAACATGACTAGCTGGTTACAAGCAAGCCCACCCAATTCCCTTTCAAGATCAAAACTCAAAGTACTTGCCATAGGTGCTGTACATGTAGCTATAGGTTTTAAAGTTTGCCCTGCTGGAGTTTTGGGCTTATTTGGTCCTATCTTTCCTTATTCTTTTATTTCTCTGTTTTGGAAGAGAAATATTTGCTTTGTACCATTATATGTTGGATTATATAACTTTAAAATTTTACAAGAGCTCAAAGCTAAGAGTTTGCCTTGAGTCTGAGAAGAGACTTTGGAAATGATGTTTTGAACAGCATTGGAACTGTTCAACACTATGGGCACCCTTGGAGGTGGACTGAGATGGACTTGAACCTTTTGGGAGTCAGAAGTAGAAAGTTTTTTGTGTTATAAGTCACCATTTTGGAAGGTGCTTAGAAGTGTTAGGATGTGAGGCCTGCCTGCCAGAGGTAGGCCACTGGAGCCCACCACCTCTTACTCTAGATGCTAAGCTTCCTTTGAGCCAAAGTCATTTTTTTTCTTCTTTTGGTCAGTCGTGGGGCTTAAACTCTGGGCCTGGGCCGTGTCCCTGAGCTCTTCAGCTCTAGGCAAGTGCTCTACCACTTGAACCACACAGCGCCACTTCCGGTTTTCTAGTAGTTTATTGGAGATAAGAGCCTTATGACTTTCTTGCCTGGGCTGGCTTTGAACCACTACCCTCAGATCTGAGCCTCCTGAGTATCTAGGATTACAGGCATGAGCCATGGGCATTGGCTGGTAATTCTTTATAGATACGTTGTATAAACATAACTGAACTTGCTTTGTTTGTTTTTTTCCAGTCCTAGAACTGGAAGTCAGGGACTGAGCACTGTCCCTGAGCTTCATTTGCTCAAGGCTAGCACTCTACCACTTGAGCCACAGCTCCATTTCCAGCTTTTTGTTTATGTGGTACTGAGGAATTGAACCCAGGGCTTCGTGCATGCTAGGCATGCACTCTACCACTAGGCCATATTCCCAGCCCCCTTGCTACTTTCTTGAGCGCTACTTGTGGTGATTTTGCTTAGATTGGTAGGCAGTAGAAGAAGTTGATGTGAAGAGGAAAAGTGACATTATTCTTTCCCACTAAAATCTGTCATGTGTTTTCCCAATGTCTATCTTTGCCTCCCTGGCCACTCAGTTCATAGTCAACTGTGCTATGATTTTACTGCCACCTGGTGTTGTGATTAGGAACTGCAGTTGAGCATTTCATCTTTTCAATGGAAGAAGAGTTAGTTTTTGAATGAGCTGGCCCTCTATCCACTGAACTGGGTATCAGTAATCGCTCACAAAATTTCAGTACAGAAAGTCTCTATTTTGCTTTTTCCAGTCCTGGGGCTTGAACTCAGGGCCTGGGCACCATCCCTGAGCTTCTTTTGCTCAAGGCTAGTAAGAGTAGTCACTTAAGCTACAGCTACAAATTTCTCTATATATGTGGTGCTGAGGAATCAAACCCAGGGCTTCATACATGCTAGGCAAGCACTCTACCACTAAGCTACATTCCCAGCCCAAGTATCTGTTTTCATGTACTCTTTGTCTTCCTGACTAATTCACTCCTTTTTTCTTACATTTTTCTGACTATATTCTCACTTTTCTTTGACAGTCTGTGTCTTCATGTGATTTTTTTTTTAGCCTGTACATTCTGGGTCTTCGCTGTTTTATATTTGTTTTCATCAGTACTCATAGGTTTAAATACCTATGATTATTTACAAATTTATGTTGATGTTCCAAAAATATCTCTGAACTGAAAACAATGTCTCTAGCTGCTTATGTAGATATTATCAAACCCATACCCCTGTAAAAGTAGGTTTCCTACCCCATCTTCATTTCTCAGTACATTAATCCATCATGCTAAGAATTCTAGGGATCAATCAGTTTGATATCTTATATTTCATGATTTTTTAAGTCAGGTATTTAGCATATCCCACTGTATCTAAAAGATGTATTATGTGACCATTCTATGTAGGCTACTACTGTTTCTTCCCTGAACTAACTCTTGTTAGTTGTTGTCTCCCTGTACCGATTTAGCATGTTTTACATGCTTGTTTGAGCTAAGTTTCTCCTCTGGTTCTGTTCCTCATTCAATCCCTACTACCGCCTATTGTTTCTACAACCTGTTAAATGCATACATAGCACTTGCTAGCCAGGGATGCTAGGCTACTGAGAGTCCTGTAGTTTTAGTGACTAGACTGGGCAATATTAGAATTTTTCACCACTTTAGTAGTAGTATTTTGTATGAGTCCGTTTATCATAAATGAATTTTAGCCATTTTCATTTTCCTAAGAAAACTTGAATCTGCAGAAGACATATATGTTAGGAATTAATTAGCTGGAGTTGAGCTGAACTTGTAGGATAACAGCCTACTTTTGGAGTCACAATTCTTTTATTTATTTATTTTGGGTCGGTCGTGGGGCCTGAACTCTGGGCCTGGGCGCTGTCCCTCAGCTCTTCAGCTCAAGGCTAGCACTCTACCACTTGAGCCACAGCACCACTTCCGGCTTTTTTCTTTTTGCTTATGTGGTGCTGAGGAATCGAACCTAAGGCCTCAGGCATGCAAGGCAAGCGCTCTACCACTGAGCCACCTTCCCAGCCCCGGAGTCACAATTCTTAATCAAGATTGAAATAATTTTTTGAACTTGTGTAATTCATGTCATAGACTAGGGGCAGACTTTGCCTTGCATTTGATTCCCAACATTGGATCCTCCACCCTGACACCCACCCCCTCATCCCCTGGGCCTGGGGCTTGAACTCAGGGCCAGGATACTGTCCCTAATTATTATTATTATTTTTTTTTTTTTGGTCAGTCGTGGGGCTTGAACTCTGGGCCTGGGCGCTGCTCTCAGCTCTTCAGCTCAAGGCGAGTGCTCTACCACTTGAGCCACAGCGCCACTTCTGGTTTTCTGGTGAATTGAAGATAAGAGTCTCAAGGACTTTCCTGCCTGGGCTGGCTTTGAACCGTGATCCTCAGATCTCAGCCTCCTGAGTAGCTAGGATTACAGGTGTGAGCCACTAGCGCCTGGCCCCTAATTTTTTTTTTTTCTTTCTTTCTCAAGGCTAGCACTCTGCCACTCGAGCCACACCTCCACTTAAGGCTTTTGGGGTTTAAAACATTTCTTTTGTTATTATTAGGTATACAGAGGGGTTACCATTTGTTAGGTCAGGAAATAAATACATTTTCGGGGGGGGGGGGGACAATGTCATCCCTTCCTTCACTTTCCCCATTTCCCCCTCCTGTCCGTGCTCACAAGTTATATTAGTTCATTTTCCACATAGTGTGTACTGAACAGCATGAACAGCACTGGACATTGTTTTTTTTTTTTTTTTTTTTTAATTTAATTTAATTTTATTTGTGAACATACTGTACAGAGGAGTTACAGTTACATGGGCAGGATAATGTGTACATTTCTTACCAAGCATTGCAGCCTCCTCCTTTGTTTACCCTTCACATCCCTTCCCAGCCTTGGACATTGTTTTAAGAGGAAAGATGAAAAGGAAGTTAAAGAAAAGAAATTTCGTGCCATCGTTTGCTTCAGCATTCTGTCTAAAACAATATTTTTTAATACAAAGGTACATTTGTTAAATGAATAATAACCTGTTTTAAGTATTCTTTTAGTAGAGTTTTATATCTTGTTAATTTGAATAAGTTTTATTTGTTGTGTGAATGGTTTTTACTGTATAAAGTTGTTGGTTGTGGGGCCTGAACTCGGGCCTGGGTGCTGTCCCTGAGCTCTTCAGCTCAAGGCTAGAGCTCCAACACTTGAGCCACAGCACCACTTCTGTCTTTTTCTGCTTATGTGGTCTGAGGAATTGAACCTCATACATGCAAGGCAAGCACTCTACCACTGAGCCACCTTCCTAGTACTACTATATAAAGTTGTGATAGTAGGGCTTCCTTGCTGCTTTGAATTGATACTGTTCAATAATTTTGAAAGTGGAGATTTGTAAAGGTGAGGGGTGGGCAGACTCAAGGAACAAAAGTTTACCAGTAAAATACCATGGTTTCTTAACACTTAGCAATAGATTTTTGGTGTGTGGTGTGTTTGGCCAGGACATCCTGGACATTATAGAGTTTGACCGGCATCCGTGGTCACCATCCACCAATGCATGACAACCCAGAAGTCCTATAGACAATGCAACATTGCCAAACTTTACACCATGGCAAGAAAAAGTCATAGATACTGTGTGTGTGTGTGTGTGTGTGTGTGTGTGTGTGTGTGTGTGTGTGTGTGTCCCCTTTTTTTTGAACTGTTTATGACCAGAGTTTTAGAGAGTTACTGTTTTTTTTTAACTTGGAATATTTGCATAAAGCTTACTCATTGAAATTCTGAGCATTATGTTAATACTTCAGAGCTTCAGACTTCAGAGTTCAGACTTCAGAGCTTTTCAGATACAGAAATGTTTACCTTGTGCTATACTTAGAAAGTAAGAATAGGCCAAGAAAACTTTGACTTGGGAAATCTTTGGCATTCTTTGGTTTCATTGACAGTATGATTGTATAATTCATTGATGGCAAGAGAAGTAGACAAGTCTGTATTGATGGACAGTTTATAATTCATACTCGCTTATCATAAAATAACTTTTCTACTCCATATGTGAAAAATGATTCATTGTAAATTGTATTTCACTTGTTTTATTTTGTTAACTTGCTTCAACAGGAGACATTGGTAGAAAAGGAGAACTAACATTGCAGCATGTAGGGTCACTTATAACTGGAAATTTGGCCATTGTGTTTGTGTGTATGGGATAGAGGGTGTGATTAATTTCTTTCTCTTTTTTTTTCTTTTTTTTTTTTTTTCCAAAGGGACACAAGAGATGGTTTTAGAAGAAAAAGTTTCTACTCTTCCCATTATTCAAGGGACCGTTCTCCCCATAAAAGGGAGCCTCCATTTTTCAGAGAGTCACCTGGAGGTCGAAAGGACTCTCCACACAGCAGATCTGGCTCCAGTGTCAGCAGCAGGGGCTACTCTCCAGAACGGAGCAAAACATATTCATTCCACCAGTCTCAGCATAGAAGTACGTATATTTAACACGTAGCGGCCTTCACCAATGAAAGTACGTTGAGTCACATTGCCTCGCTGTGTTCTAAGACATACATTCCTCCCTTTAGTTTCAGTGTTTTGTTTTGTTTTGAAAATTTTCAAACTTAACAGGAAAATGTATACCATACACACAGATTTTTTTTCCCCGAATACGTGAAGTTCAAGTCTTTGTGACATTTTGTTTAAATTGTCAGCATGTAAAAGATCTTGATGATGAAGTTTGAAAGTTACGTTCTCCTATGGTTTCTGGTAGTTCTTATGCCTCTCTCACCTTTTCAACCTTTTGTTAGTAGGTAATAACTATATATCTGATGGTCTGGTTTTCATTCAGGTTATCATCAGTCATCTCTAAATAACATGGTATAGCATTATTGAATTTGGCATTAAAACCTACCCATAGATTCATTCTTTCCATCCCACAGTTCTGGGGTAGGGTGGAGTGAGGAGCATCTACTAATATAGAGCATTCTATGCAAATGTACCATGTCACCCTAACTTGCTTTCTATGTTTTAGAATAAATAATTAAGGCATATGTTTTCTAGATACAAGAAATCGTATCTTTCTAGACTATACTGTATGCTGTTGGACTCGTTCATGAAACAATTCCTCTTGTTTTCAAAGAACTTTATTAAATACTAATATGTCTCTGTCTAAGGAACGTGTGTATGTATGTGTTTATGTGTGTTTATTTTCCACTAGCACTGTTTTTGAAAATTAGTGTTACTTTATGTAAGATAAAACTTGGATGCATGAAATGATACATAATAAATAAATTAGCGTGACATGATCATGTAAAGATGAGAGGCTAATTCTCACCCTCGAGATGGAAAAACATGGGAGAGATGACATCTCTTTTTACCAATTTCTACACTGCAGAAGTGTATTCAGAGTAGGAAGAATTATAAGCCAAAATAGTAAAATCAGAAAGTAGTGTGGTTCATGTCCAGTGGTTTTCAATTCAAAGTTCTAATTCAATAGCCCTTTCCTACTACACAGTGACTATTCCTTCATTCTTAAGTCTAGTACACATTTATCAGTTTTTAATTTGCAGAGCTAGGTACTTAAGGCTAGGTATTCAATGCTAGTGGATGTTCTTTTTTTTTTTTTTTTAAGTCCTGGGGCTTGAACTCAGGGCCTGGGCACTGTCCCTGAGCTTTTTTTTTTTTTGCTCAAGGCTACAGCCACAGCCCCACTTTCAGCTTTTTCTGTGTATGTGATCCTGAAGAATCGAACCCAGGGCTTCATGCATGCTAGGCAAGCACTCTACTACTAAGCCACATTCCCAGCCCTAAATGTTCTTATATATAGCCATATCCCAAATTAGCCAGATACCTGAAGAACTTTCCCCCAGATATGAATGAATTAAATCCAAATTCATTATTGATTGGATTCAGAGATCGAATATTTGTAGAAGATGATACTGAAGCCTTTTTAACTTTTTGGTTTTTTGGGATTTGTTTTTTGAGACAGTCTTTGGTATGCATTCCAAGGTAACTGCAAAGTGTTGGGAGGATTCCAGTGGAACCAAGAGTCTTGGAGAAGAATAATACTAGGAATGTATTATATGTTATTTGGAGGCCCTGAAATAGAATTTAGTACTTTCTTTAAAAATCTTGGACTCTTAAGTAGTGATCCAAACCATTAATGAGCTGTTGACTTTTGTGTCTACCTCTTAGGAATGGATGGATCTTAGGGGAAGCAGAGGCAGTATGTAGATCTTCAAACCCTGTACCTGTATCTTTTCTCTGTATTTATGGGTATCTTTAACACAGAATGTTCTTGTTTCCATCCATTTTCTGTTTCATACTTTGAATAAACCAGTAATCTCTGGGAAATCGTGTTCTTCCTGACCCAAAAGGACAGTCCCAATATTTTTGTCTATGATTCAGAAAAACATAGCACTGTACTAAAAGTCTGGTATTTTTCAGTGCATAGTTTCCAATTTTATCTTAAAAGATAATTGCTCTTTTTTCTTCTGCAGTATCTTTTGTTGCTTTGTGAGTTTTCAGTAATGAAAAGTAGCTAATGGAATTGGTTGTCTCTGGTTTTTGTTTTTAGCGGGAAAATACACTTCAGGAAGAAAGCATATCTTTGAAAGATCATGTTAGATTTGCTATTATGTTCAAACACAGTAAAATTCTTTCCAGATTTCTTGATGTTTATTAGAGTACTAAACTGTTTCTATAATTTTTTAATTTTACCTCAATAGGAAAAATTTCTTAAAGCTAATATGTAGAACCAGTATAGATGCTCCTTGACTTACAAAACCCCATCTTAAATGGGAAATATTATGTTGAAATACATTTAATACAACTAACCCACTATGTAATTGTTTAGTGACCCAATCCACTATAGAGTTTTGGTTGTTTATGATTGTGATTGAGTTGGGTGATTGGGAAATGTAGTTTTCTGCCTTTGTTTAGCATTGAGAGTTCCAAAACTTTTTTCTACCACTGTGTATGGCTCGTCTATCACCATAAAATAGAAAAACTAAGTTGGCCATCTTAAGTCACAAACTATGCATATGAAAATCCTTTTTGCTTTTTCTACTTTAACTCATCAGTGTATAGCCCTGAATTTCTATTTCCATGGTACCACTTGTGTAATTTTTCTCTTTTGGTTTCTTTTATCTTGATTTAGAGCTCTCTTTAAGCAGCAAGTAACTGCAAAAACAGCAGTATTTTGAGCTAGTTTTAACCTTTCAAGCAGAGAAAGAGTCTGCCTGTACAGTCACATCTGACATGAATTTGAGGTCCTGGGTAAATAGTTGAATGGCTTTTTTTTTTTTCCTTCCCCCAGTTGTGGGGCTTGAACTCTGGGCTTAGGTGCTGTCACCGTACTCTTCAGCTCAAGGCAAGCACTCTACTACTTGAGGCACAGCACCACTTCTGGTTTTCTAGTCGTTCATTGGAGATAAGAGTCTCACAGACTTCCCTGCCCAGGTTGGCGTTGAACCCTGATCCTCAGATCTCAGCTTTCTGAGTAGCTAGGATTACAGACATGAGCCACTGGCACCCAGCAAGTAGCATTTTCTTAGTTAACTGTAGAACAGTTTGTAAGGTAGGCTTAAAACTTAAATATATTGTGCTTGTTGAAGCCTAGCCAGAACAGTTTCGGGGTTGAAGAGAAACCTCCATGTTTAAAAACAAAAAGAACAACTGAAAAGCAGCAGAATGCTAGGAAAGAGGTAAGGAAGTTCAACATAGAATACAGAGACAATAGGTTTGAAATGTGCTTTGTCATCAGCCTGTGGCCCTTTTGGGAGGTGGTGGACCTTTTAAGAGGTGAAGGGCTAGTTGAAGGACCATATGTTCTTGAGTGTACCTTTGAAGAGTATACTGGTACTGTAGCCTCTTCCTGCTGCTCCTGCTGTCATAAGGTAATGTAGGCCTCCTCTGCCACTTGCCCTTTGCTATCACAGGCATTGGAGCCAAGTGATCACAGATTGAAACTTCCTACTTGTGAGCCAAAATAATATGCCTTTCCTTTGTATAAGTTATTTATCAGGTATTACAGTGACAGAAAGCTGAGAAACGCGGGTATGAAGACCAAATATCAAAACGTTAAGAAAATTTATTTATAAAAGGACAGATATGAAATCTTTTAATTTTACTCTGAGTTAGAAATTGGAAACTTTGGAATAATCTACACAGTAGGTTTATTACTATTAAGTGTGTTATAAAACAATCTCAAACTTAATGGGTTGTAGTGGTAAGTACTACTGTTGAAGATTCTGAAGTTCTGCTTGCGTTACTAGTTTGTTAGGAGTTAATTGAATAGTCTAAACTTTTTTAACTGCAACCTGAAATGGGAATTTGTAATTAAATGTAGTAATGACTACAATGTCTCTTGAAATTTGGAGTAAAAGTTACTTAGTACCTCCAGTGCTTTGTTGATAAATTGACTCTTCAGAGTTCAGAAGACTTTTTTTGTGTTTGCTGTTGTGTTTGCTGATATTGATGGAGTAAATACTTCATCGTGTTGACTTCACACTGCTAACATAGACTAAGATGAAGGGATGGATAAAATGCATTCAGCTGCTATGCTGGTACGCTTTGGTATAATATCACTATTCTAGCTATTGATTTGAAAAATAACTTGAGGTGGCTTAATAAAAGAAATATTTAATAAAATGAAATCAAATGAAATTTATGTAAATAAGAAAATACTAGGAATGTAGAAGAATAAATAGTGTAGGAAGTAAATGTTTCTCATGCAATGAGCAGCTGTAGTTGAACTATTTGGCCAGTACAAGCAGGGATAGTTTTCATATTACACCTTGTAATGAAAACAAATGAACTGCTTAGGAAGACAAAAACCTTGCCCGACGGCAGAGACCAGTGACAATAACAATAGGGTACTGGTTCTCCATAATGTTCTTATAATAGCCAGAGGACCATATTTGAAAAATTTGAAACATATTTGAAGGCAGGTTGATGATAATGCCAAAATCACATAAAAGTTGTGGATTTTTTTTTTCTTTCAGGGAAATTTGGTTTTTAAAAATTTACAGAAGTAAAATAGGCAGTTTGGGATCCCTGGTAGAAAGACTTGCAATAATTGGTAAGGAATTTTGTTAGAAAGATACCTGTGTGTTGGACTAGTATATTTAGTCTATTGAGAAAATTGATTCCCTCTGCACTGTTAAATTTGTAGGCAAGAGACAGTAGCAAGTGTTTTAGGATTCCAAATAAGGGAAAATTAGGGACTCATCCAAGGTAGTAAATGTGGATGTTTTGAAATCTGTATATAGCAGTTTGCATAAACACAGCTAGATTTAGTAGCATGTTATTTATTTAGGAGCAAGTCAGAATGATTATGGGAAAACTTTCCCGAGACTTCTTTTTTCTTTTCTTTTTTTAAAAACCAGTCCTGGGGCTTGAACTCAGGGCCTGGGCATTGTCTCTGAGCTTCTTTTGCCACAGCACCACTTCCAGCCTTTTCTGTTTGTGTGTATTGAGGAGTTGAGCCCAGGATTTCATGCATGGTAGCCAAACACTCTACCACTAAACCACATTTCCATCCCTTCCCAGTGATATTTTTGAGTTGTAGTGGTGATTCATATTTTCACTCTTGACTGAGTGTGTGTGTGTGATTGGTTACAGTTCTTTGAATGGAAATCTCATGAAACATAAGTTAGACTAGGCACCTGCAGTGATGAATAAGATGTAGTCCTTGTCAAAGTCTTTTATCTGTGGTCCTTTTCTCATTCCTTTCTACCCCTTCTGTCCTTGAGCTTTATTTTTAACACTTCCAGTTAGCTTTTCACCTTTGTAGGGGAGTTTAAAGGTTTTGTCTTTGCCTCATAGTAGTTCTGAAATACACAGACAGTAGATCCATCCAACAAGGATAAGAAACACAAATTTACTATGATTATGTATGCATGCTTGAGAGATTCTAAGAAAATGAAAGGCTCAAAAGTTCAGGTGACTAAAGCTTGTATAGAGCTGGAGTAGAGGCTTGGGGCTTCTGTGCTAGTGTAAGTCAGCTGTAGGAGAGTTCAGGGAAGAATGCACAGAAATAAAGAGTTTTCTTGTTAGGTAGGTCAAGTCTAAGTGATCTCAAGAGTTCCTCTCAGAAGAGTTGTCAACCTGTAAGAGTTTCTACTTGGGGTGCCAGTCTCTTAAGTCTCCCTTTTTGTGGTCTCCCTTTTTGTGACAGGATCCGTTTCTAGGCAGATTAAGGAAGTCACAGATACATAGCCTGTATTTCTAACTGTTGTCTATTAATGTGTATAAACATTAATTTATTTCATAATATGACAGATTTTTAGAGCTGTTCCTGTGTCTGCATCTCTGAATAGCTATCTCAGTGTGCTACAGAAGTATACTATAGGATGCATAGCTACTTGCTCACACTTTAGGTAAAGATTTTCTTCGCTTCCCACCTAGTTCAAAGGCAGGGTAAAAAAGAGTTGAGGGATCATCTGGCAGATACCTGGAAGTTGCTGTTCTCATAGCTCCTACTTCTGGGGGGTCTTATCTTGTCCCTCCTGGGCACAGAGGTGCTGGTGTTAATTCCTCCCTGCCCACCTTTCCTAGAGCCTGTGCGTGCTGGTGCCTCCTACAAACGGCAGAGTGAAAGAAATCCAGAAAGAGGTGAGTTTTGAGATAGACTTTTGATTTGGGAATTTGAAAAGGGATGGGAAGGGGGTCTGGAATTGATAGAAGTTATGAAAATAGGAAAAATATAACTGCTGTTAAGAGTTGGATAGCAGTGTAGTAGTGGATCAGGAAGTAGGATCTGGTAGGATACAGGGGTTCATTACCTGGGTTAGCCAGTCCTGGTCAGGAATAGCCACCCCATAGGAGGCTGAGATCTATAGAATGAATGGGTCACTGGCAGGTAGGATCAAGGGAGTTCTCTTCCTTTTCTGTGCTCTTAGGCTGCCATCTTTATCAACTTCTTTCTGCTTCTCTTCTGCCCCTCATATTGATGTAACCAGGTATAAAAGGATATATGTGAATACATGATGAATCTCCTGCCCTATCCTTTGCTTCTGCATAATGTTTGGTTATTATCTGCTTAAATTAGCCTTTGAGCCTCTAAAATGAGGAAAAGTTCCTAAGACTAAACTTTGGGACCTGACTTGCGTGTGTCATTGGTAAAGGGAAATGCTGTGTAAGCAATTTAACAGCTGCTTGTGTGATTTTTCCCTCCTCCTGTACCTTAACTAATGCACTCATGCTAGAATTGACATTGCAATGCTCATTGATCTAGTGCTTCCATCTTCTTTCAAGGAATTGTTCATCTGAGTAGGATGGGGATAAGAGTAGAAAAATCAGATTCAGTACCTAGCCCCTTCTCCCTACCCCCTGTTCTGAGGTTTGAATTCTGTGTCTAATGCTTGGTAACAGGCTCTATTGCTTGGGCCACATCTCCAGCCCCTCTCCTTTTGTTAAGCTAAATAGGCCATAGGCATTTATACATAACATACTATATTATTTCCTTTAGAACTTGTCACTTGCAAGGGACATGCAATAAGGGATGGCTAAATTAAGTTCTTTGCCATTTGGGAATGAAGTGATGATCTTATTATATTTCTTTAACTTTCCTAGGAACTTTTAAAGCTGCTTAGTGTGAAATCTTTTTATGGTACCAGGGTGATGTTACCTGAAGATTCTAGGTTATATTTTTAAAAAAAGAATTGAAGCTTCAATATTGGATTGCTTATCCTACAGCAGGGTTCTCAGCTCCAGAACTATTAATATTTGAGTTGGATTATTCTTTACTTGGGGGAGAAGAGGATGTGTAGCATTATCCTGCCTGTACATAGTCTGTGCTATTGGCAGTTTTTCATTGGTGACAATATAGAATACCTCACCCAATTCCCCAGTGTCTGGAGGTAGGTGGTACTTAACTATCCTTGATTGAGAACCACTGGTCTAGAGAAGGGCTTTGGGTCTCAGGACATTGGAAAGAGGTTTTATTCACCCCTGCCCTAGGTAATAGGCTCTTGCTTACCTATATTGGCTTTGGTGAGGAAGTGCTTATAGAGGCATTTAGACTGAAGCTGGCTTTGCAATTGTCTGCTCTCCTGGCCATAATCTACTTTTCAGACTTGACCATCTTCTATGTGACTTCAAGCCTGGTATCTTTTCTCTTCACTTTAGTAATATTTTTAGTTTTCACAGCAATTAAGAGCAGATGAGCCAGGTGCTAGTGGCTCATGCCTGTAATCTTAGCTACTCATGAGGCTGCAATTACACTTTTATACCAGCCTGGGCAGAACAGTCCCCAAGAGACTCCTCGTGAGACTTATCTCCAATTAACTGCTCAAAAACGGGGAGTGATGCAATGGCTCAAGTAGTAGAGTGCTGGCCTTGAGCACAAAGAGGCTCAGGGACAGTGCCCAGGCCCTGAGTTCAAGCCCTACAACTGACCGCCCCTCACCCCCCCCAAAAAAAGAATCTAGATCATTGTATGTGAAATTTTAGTGAAATGCTTAGTTACTAGTTTTTAAGATTCTCCTTAAATGTTTTCTTGGTGATTAATTAATACTATATTTTCGACTTTAATTTCTGTCAAAAATGATATGTACAACACTGTAAGATTAATGACTATCTTGGTTTTTTTTTTAACAAATTTGACAAATATTTTGGAATGCATTCATGCGAGACATGGGATTAGTTTTCTACTTTCATTTTTAGTCTGTGAACATTTAAAAGTATCTACTAAATTTCTTAGGTAAAGCTTTCCTTGAGCTATCCCTCATTCTAGAGCCTTCTTACCTGTCTAGGATAGTAACTGGTGGCTGCTGGAACTAAGTTGCCAAGGTTTAATAATATAGAAGTGACTTTCACAACTAGATCTGTGAGTTGTCTGCATATTGACTACAGTGACTACCCCTGTGATACATAAAAAACTGTCATTAAGGAACAGAGGAAGCATCATGATTTAAAACTGTTCTGCCTATGTCTTCTCTGTGATTTTGTTCATTAACTGACATTGGTATGGCCTAGATGGCCCTATAATACCATTTGGTTCTGAGTTTAAGTTTTTGATGTTATCCAGCCATTCTGAAGAGATAGCTGTAGATATAAACATGATTTAATAATACATTGTACAGCAGCTCTTGTACTAAAACTAAGTATGTGACTCCTCCTTAATTTGGCTACAAAATTATATAATTGAAAACAAATGAGCTAGAAAAATCACATTAATTAATATTTTATTTATATAGGTAAAGAGAGATCTGCTCAGTCTTTGAAAACATCACGAGACACTTCACCTTCAAGCTCTTCAGCAGTTCCTTCATCAAAGGTTTGTTACTTTCCTAAAATTAGCTTAAAGTAGAAGTACAAAGAAAGTAGGAGGGATTTACTAGTACAGATACTCTTATGTATTGTCATAACCAAAGGGCTAATTTATTTCATTTAAAAACTTCTGTTGTGAGCCATGGCACCTGTAATTGCACCTACTTGGGAGGCTAACAATGGGAAGATTATAGTCTGAGGCTGGCTTGGGCAACCCCATTCCCCAAACCCTTTTCTATAGGTGAGCATAGTGGCATGTCTATCAACCCCAGTACCATCAAAAAAACCCCAACACAAACAGCATGGTGAACTTTACATAACTATGACTTGAAAGTAGCTACCAGAGTCAATGAGCACTGTTGTCATAGATTCTTTCCGTAGGTTATGCTCAGATTAGTTCTTTCTGCTGCAACTATTGCTCACAATTGACCAGGTGGGAATACATAGTTCCATGGGGCATCTTTGTGGATTTTGCTTTTGTTTTAGGAGTTAAGTGTATGCAGAGACCTGAGCAGTTTGTAACTGCTCAGTTTTAAATACCTTATTTTTTTCTCATTACTCCATACAGAAATCCTATACTATAAGTGTAAATCTCCATTTTATGGCAGATTCAAGACTCAGAAATAAAATAATTTTCTCTAAGGAGTAGACAGCACTCTTGATCACCATCCTCATTCCTATCTTTCTGCTGAGCATCTCAGTGCAAGCTGCAAAAACAGGCACCATGTATATAAATTTGAATGTGAGAAATGTTATTTGCTTAGAAGTTGTCTTTAGTGCGATACGGGTAGTTTATAATCTGCGCTACTCAGGAAACTGAGGCCTGAGGATCAAGGTCATCTCCACCTCTAATTCAAGCCCTGGTACCCTCACAGAGAAGAATGGGGAGGTCTTTACTCACCTTACTTCCTTTCTCTTGCTCATAACTAGTAACCTTTTTTCCATTGCCTATCCTAGAGCTTGAACTCAGGGTCTAGGCATTGTCCCTCAGCTTTTTTGCTCAAGGTTAGTGCTCTATCACATGAGCCACGGCTCTTATTTCTAGCTTTTTGTGGTCAATTGGAAGTAAGAAATAAAAATCTCACCGACTTTTCCTCCCTGGGCTGGCTTTGAACTGGGATCCTTAGATCTCAGCCTCCTGAGTAGGATTGTTTATGTGAACCACCAGTGTTGATGGAGGAATTTTTATTGCAAACATTGTTACTATTCTTATAAGATTTTTTTTTCGGTTTTATTTTCTGTTAGAAGTTAGATTTGTGTGACTGTTTTAAAGTACACACATTTAAATAATACATGAATTGCAGGATGGTTGAACTCATAAGTATTTGTTTTCGTTTCATAACTCCAACTTGAAAAGATAAATTCTTACTTAAAAAGTCAAGTATAAATTCTTTAGATGTATTGGCATCAGTTTGTGTTTCTTTTCATTACTTTCTTGTTTCTTTTTCTTCTCTCTCTCTTTTTTTTTTTTGGGTCCGGTCGTGGGGCCTGAACTCTGGGCCTGGGCGCTGTCCCTCAGCTCTTCAGCTCAAGGCTAACGCTCTACCACTTGAGCCACAGCACCACTTCCGGCTTTTTTCTTTTTGCTTATGTGGTGCTGAGGAATTGAACCCAGGGCCTCAGGCATGCAAGGCAAGCGCTCTACCACTGAGCCATCTTCCCAGCCCCCATCTTTTTCTTCTCTTTATCTCTCCCCTCTCCCCTCCCCCCTCTCCCCTCCTCCCTCCTCCCTCCTCTCCCTCCCTCCCTCTCTTCCTTCCTTCCTTCCTTCCTTCCTTCCTTCCTGCCTTCCTGCTGAGGATTCAGGGCCTTATACTTGCCAGGCAAGTATTCTTCCACTGAGCTAAATCCCCAACTCCATCTTTCTTTATATTTCTAGCTTTCTGTCCTTCCTCCATTTCTTTTGTTTCTTTCTTGTTTATATTTTAGACAAGGTCTAACTATGTTGTACAGGCTGGCACAAACTTGTACTTGAGCCGCTGCCTTCTAAATGCTGGGATTACATGTGTGTAACATACATACCTAGCACTCTTTCTGCTTTTAAAAAACCCTTAATATTTCCATATAGTAATATGTTATTTTACAATCTTTGTAAACTTCTATATAGGCAAAGCATTGGAATATGAGATATTTAGGCTTCCTTAAGGACGTGAAATGTACTTTAATCTACTTTGAAGGGAAGTGTCAGATTTTCTCCTTTCTTTCAGAAAAGTTGTTATAGACTAACAGAAATAATACTAATTTGTTGTATATATAGGCATGGTAGGAGCCATATGCAAGATGTGACCCAAAGAAAGGACCAGGTGGTTGAAGTTTATGTAGTATCATGAAGTTCACCAAGGATTAGGGACTGGGGTGCCTTTAGGTGGGGATTGGAGGTGGCTACATAAGCCATGATAGAATGATGGACTTGTATTTATCTTGTGAAGACCAAGTTTCCCAGGAGGCTCTGTGTGTGTGTGTGTGTGTGTGTGTGTGTGTGTGTGTGTGTGTGTGTGTGTGTGTGTGTGTGTGTGTGTGTGTGTGTGTGTGTGTGTGTGTGTGTGTGTGTGTGTGTGTGTGTGTGTGTGTGTGTGTTCCAAATATGTTTTAACAATGAATATGGAAAACAAGGAAAAATGGGTATTAAGCATTATCCTAGACATTTTCAGGCCCATTACCTATCATATTTTCACAAGTATGTCGTAAACTAAGTAATATTAGCCCCATCTTGTAACTGAGAGTGCCAAGGCTGAAAGCCTCATACATTATGCATATGAAATCATTCTTTCTAGCTGATGATTAAACCACTTCAGATCCAGTCTGTAACTCCAGAGGCAAGATTTCTTTGTAATTGTGTCTGATTTGATAAAGGAAGTAGTGGTAGACTCAAGTGGTGGATTTAAGCACAAAAACTCAGGTAATGAGTAGGATTTATATAATTTATTACAAATTATAAAGACAGGTTTTCCTGTCTTTTTCCCTCTTTCCTAGTTTTCCAGACTTTCTTGTTGCATTAATTACGAATTTATCTTAATTCACTTTTGGCATTTTTTTCACTGAGTATAATTAAAAATAAAAAGTTGAGATCAATCAGTGTACTGTCATTTTTATTCCATATACAATTAGTATATGAGTTGTCTTTGTCTTTTGCTTTGTTCCTTAGAGGAGTTCCTGAAGTTTTATGTAAATGAAATTGAGTTAGATCTAGTCTGTGTCTCAAAGATATTACTACTTTAAGGAATCTATGTAGTTTGGTTGAAGGAGCAAAAATGAAGAAACCTGTTTGTCATACATTTGGAAGTTCATGTAATTTGAAGTGTTACTAGGGTGTGCTTCTCAATATACTTGAAGTTTAAAAGCCCTTGAGAATTGTAACGGAAATGTTCGTGGATTTTTATTAGGTGTTAGACAAACCCACTAGGTTAACCGAAAAGGAACTGGCTGAGGCTGCAAGCAAGTGGGCTGCGGAAAAGTTAGAGAAGTCGGATGAGAGTAACTTGCCTGAAATTTCTGAGTTTGAGGTATGCTCACATGTGAAAATTTTGTCTGGATTTTAAATTATGAGTGGAAAATACTTGGTTTGTTACAGTACTTCAGAATATGCTTGGAGGAAATTATCCTCATGGATTGATAAATGTACTGTACAGGGTTGTAATAATCATCACACTGTGCCTGAGTGGCTGCAATGCTTTAGGAGTATAGAACTAAAATGCATTATTTATGTGTTACTGATAGACTCTGCTTTCCAAGTATCTCATGTTTAACCATCAGTCAAACCACTGAATTCAGAAAGTTAAACAATTTGACTTAACATGTGGACTGTATTTATATTACACATTATGCATTATGCATTATTTAATATCTCAAGAACGAAATTAAGCATTGTTTGAGCTACCTAAGATCTATGATGGATCTTGATTATCAAAGAAATGAGAACATTGGGGTCCACCGAACATTATGAAATGTTCATATTAAAATACGTTTAGCTGGGAAAGTAGCTTAGTGATAGTGTTTGCCTACCATGCACGAAGCCCTGGGTTCAGTTCCTCAGTACCACATAAACAGAAACAGCCAGAAGTGGCGCTGTGGCTCAAGTGGTTGCTAGCTTTGAGCAAAAGAAGCTCAGGGATAGTACCCAGGCCCTAGTTCAAGCCCCAGGACTGCAAAATAAATAAATAAAATATGTTTAAATGAAGTAAAAAAAAAATCTGTATAACACTAATGTCTCTAAAAAGAAAATAGAGACATTTTATGGAGAAAATTAAGTTTTAGGACATACGTTTTCTTCAATTATCAATTGATTTTCTTTCCTTTTATAAGATAGTACTAGTGTATAGTATGCTGTAACTAAACTATACTGCTAATGTTTTTAACCTTATTACATCTCATTTGTCATGTCCTATTATCCTGGATAAAGAATCTGTAACAGTCTACTGGCACTTTCACCCATTTCAAAGAATAAGTTGGGTTTTTCAAATGGTAACACATATTCTCATTAAAATTAAACCCTTGTATGGTAAGACTCCAAGGCAGTTATCAAATAATGAATGGTAGAGTTCAAAAGAAACGTTAGCATCAAATCATTTTAGTTATGCCCACATAATAACTTATTGTTACAAAGTCCTTGATGAATGCCTTGATAACTTCTTGACAGAAAAGTTTGTATCCACATCCATTTCTGAATGGAACCCATTTTTTCCACGATTGGCTAGCATGAGAAACCCTGAGTGAAAAATAGATTTTTTTTAACCTAATATCGACAGAAACTTTTTTTTTTTATTGTAGCTTTCTATATAGAGAGAAGTTTGATATTGGAAAGATGAATTTTGATGATATAAAGGAACATAAAAATCTGTATATATATTTATATTCAAAGTATTTATATTCAAAGTAGAATTCTGGCTATGGGATAACTTAGGAATGGTGTGGGGTGAGGCTTGAACTCAAGGTCTAAGCATATATATAATATGTTGTTATATATATTATTCAAAAATTTTTGTATATTATTCAATAGATCACTTCCAAAATAGCTAATGTATATTGTATATACATGGTATCAGAACTTACATGAATAGAACATTAAAAAATGCTGACTGGTCATTTAGATAGCAATTATTCTTAAATAGGCCAAGGTTTCCCTGTCATTGTAACTTTGAGATTTCTTACATATTCTTGAGTAAATGTGTCAAAAAAATTTATAGTGTGTCAATGTTTTTAGAACACTTTTCTAGTACTATTTAAAAGCATGAACATTATAGTAATGGGTTTAATAGTTATTTAAAATAATTTTGGTTTAATATTTATTTAAAATAATTTTGGTTTAATTATTTGGAGCAGTTGTTTTAATATTAATAGTAGGTATGTGCACCTCACTATTTGGGAGTAAGACTGATTTCTAACGTTAGTGTTTATTTTTATTCTTTCATTTTATGTATTATGAATACTTATTGGCAAGACTTCATTTTTACAAGTTCTAATTGTATATTCATCCCATCTCACCACTATTTTTATGTCTTAATTTAACATATTTTTATGACTTAGCTTTCAGATGTCAAATTCTGCTTGTGTTCTTTCATTATTTAGTGGAATCTTAAAACTGAATAATCAGTAACATTGGGGCAAAAGATGGGAGGAGTGGGGGCATTCTTTGAAGTCCCTCTTTACAAAGGCTTTTCACCACTTAATCACCTCCTAAAGGCCTCTTCCTAAGTTACAATGACATTAAAGTTCAACATGAATTTTGAAGGGACAGCTGTCTAGACAACAGCATCCTAAAATTAAGATGAAACCTACTGAGTGCGTTGTGAATTTCAATGTTTTGGTTATAGTTTTGCATTGACATAAGTAAAGCTGAATTGAGAAACAGTATTATTTTTTCCTTAGAGATAACAAGAACAAAGATAGTATAAATTGCCTAATTTCCTTAGCCACCATTCAAGATTGTCTATTGCCAGAATTAGCTAGGCCCTTCTAACTGTGTATCCCCATGTCCATGTCTTACAGTCATGTTTCACTCATAGTCTGATCTAGTGTCACTTTTTTCTTTTGGTTATAAAATTTCTTCCCAAGCAGCCTGAGTAAGAGGAGTTAGAAAAGTTGAGAGCTTGCTTAAAATAATAAAATGGATATAATGACATAGTGTTAGAAATGTGATATTTATAATGGCATTTATTTCCTAAATGATTATGATTTTAATTTCAATTCCTTAATATGTATAACATGGACTCGTTAAACATAGTTTGTTTCTTAAAGTAGACAACACATGTATGTGTCAGAATCCAAATAGCATCAAGTTATTTACAGAGTGTCCTTTGCTTCCTATTCCTTACTTCCATGTCATTTCTATAGAGAAAATTTTGGTTACTAGTTTAACAGTTGGTATTCTTGAGATTCCATGTACATATGGACATAAATAAATATACACTCCCGTCTGTCCTTTATCACACAATTGTTAGTATATTGATATATTGATAGGGCATGACTTCCAGACTATGAGGTTATTTGTATTTATTCGCTGGCTAATGGTTGTTCTAAAATGGAAGTAATCCTTACTGCTCTGTGGAGTTATTTTCTTTTTAATGATTTCAATTAGTTCCTAGATATAGGTGCAAAGTGTTTTGTCTTTTGAACATAATCTTCTCAGTTTGTTCCCCTCCTCCCTTTCTTTTTCTCTCATTATATTTATTTATATGTGCATGTAAGTCTCACTTTTTTTTTTCCTCAGTGTTTCATAAATAGATTGCTTGTGGAAAAGTTATGGAACAAAACCTTCTGTAGAATGAAGTATAATTTTGGAATGGAATAAGCCTTAAGGCATTTTCTTAAAATAAGTCATTTCCCATTTAATCAACCATGCAAACATTTTCCATTTAATCCTTTTCATATATGCTCATTATTCATAATGAAATTGAATATTTCTTTTCTTAAAAAATGGTAAGAACTGCAAGGTACTGGTAGCCCATGCCTGTAATCCTAGCTACTCAGGAGGCTGAAATCTGAGGATCAAGGATCAAAGCCAACCTGGGCAGGAAAGTCTTGTGAGACTCATTATCTCCAATAAACCATTCAGAAAAAGCTGAAGTGGTATTGTGGCTCAAATGGTAGAGTACTAGCCTTGAGAACAAAGAAGCTCAGGGTTAGTGCTCAGGCCACGTGTTCAAGCCCCAAGACTTGCAAATAAAAGAAAAAATGGTGAGGCCTAATGCTTTTAATATAAGCTTTCTACCACTTAGTGCTGCTCACAAGTTCTCTGAAATGCTGTAAGATATCTTATCTGAAAGTGATTAAAGACTTATTAATGTTTTTCAAGACGGTACCTGCTGCACCATTATTCATTGACCAGCCGGAAGAACCTGAGTCGAATACAACGGATGGGATAGAATTATTTGAAGACAGTCAGCTAGACAGTCGCTCTAAAGCAATAGCATCAAAAACCAAAGAGATTGAACAGGTAAGAATGTACTCTTCTTAAGGTACATTTTTGATTCATGACACTATTGACATGTAAATATTTACTGAAAAAAACAGACATTTGCCTTTTTCCATTGTGACTATGAAATTCCATTAAAAACATCTTTTTCAAAGTGGATTTCAGTCATTTTGATGAGTGTTGTCCCATCTTTATTTATTTGGTGGTACTTGGGTTAGTCAGGAGCCCTGTGACCTACTTGAGCCACGGTTTCAGCTTTTCTTGAGTCACTGCAAATCAGGAACTGTCCTAATTTGACTAGAAAAATGCCTGGTCTCTATTCTTGCTAGGTAGTAAGTGTTCTATACATGTTTGTTAGATTCCTTGTAGGGTTTTTTTGGTATGGGTCCTAGGGCTAGAACTCAGGGCTTTAGTGCTCTGAGCTTTTTTGCTCAAGGCTAACACTCATCACTTGAGCAACAGCTCAACTTCCAGCTTCCTTTCAGTTTGTTAGAGATGAAATTTCGCAAATTTTTTTTTTTTTTGCTTCTTGGGCTGGCTGTTAACCACCACCCTCAGATATCAATCCCTTGAGTAGCTTGTATTATAGGTATGAGCCACCAGTGCTGAGCTAAATAGTAGTTGTTTGAAGACAAGGTTCTGTTAGAATCTAGTAGATAGCCCTGACAAATAACAGAAGAGCAATAATCTGGATTGCTGTTTATTAGTATTTTCACTATCACTGTTACTCAACTTGGATCTCTTTAATCTTGAGAAAGTAGGTTAGCAGTCAGGAATGCAATCTAACTTATCAGTACACATACAAAATTATTTAGCACAAAATTAATTTTTATAATACTCCCTAGAAACCTATATGTTTGATTTACCAGAGTGAGACTATCTGTCTACATCTGTCAGTTGAAGCATGTGAGATATCTGATGTTATGGTACATTGACATTATTACAAGCAAGGGCTTATAACCTAGAAAGAAAAACAAATCTTAAAGGGACTTCTGATGTTACTGGAGAAGTAAAAACAGTTATTAGAAATTCTATAAAACAACTGGGCCCTGTGGTACATACTTGTAATCCCAGCTACTTAGAAAGTTGAGGTAGGAGGATTTCAAGTTCCAGGTCAGTGTGACCCTAATAAGTTATAAAACAAAACAAAAAAGTGCTATATAATAGGAGACTTACAGGACTGTTTTTCCTATAGCACTTGGTTTTTATGTGTTAACAAGAAGTTAAGCAAGGCCAAGCACCTGTGGCTCCTGCCAGTGTAATCCTAGCTACTTAGGAGGCTGAGATCTGAGGATCATGGTTCTTAAGCCTGCCTGGGCAGGAAAATCGATGAGACTCTTAGCTCCAATTAAGCACCAGAAAAACCAGAAGTGGAGCTGTGGCTCAAGTGTTAGCCTTGAGCATAAAAGCTCAGGGACAGTGCCCTGGCCCTGGGATCAAGCCACAGGAACAGCAAAGAAATAAAAAACAAAAAGAAAAAAAAAGCACAAACATTCCTTCAAATGTCAGAAAACTAATAAATTATAAATATTTGTTTTATAAATTCATGTGTAGGGGCTGGAAAGGTGGCTTAATTGTAGAGTACTTGCCTCACATGCATGAGGCCCTGGGTTCGATTCCTCAGCACCACATAAGCTAGAAAAAGCCAGAAGTGGTGCTGTGGCTCAAGTGGTGAAGGACTAGCCTTGAGCTGAAGAGCTTAAGGACAGTGCCCAGGCCCAGAGTTCAAGACCCACGACTGACAATAACTAACTAACTAAATAAATAAATAATTCATGTGTAAAACATAGGTGGGTTATTTATATTTGATACCAGTCTTGTGGCTTGAACTAAAGGCTGGGGTCTCTTAGCTTTTTTTTGCTCAAGGCTAAAGAACTTGAACTGTGGCTCTATTTCAGACTTTTTGGTGGTTAATTGGAGATAAGAGTCTCAGGAATTTTTTTGCCCCTGCTGGCTTCAAACTGATTCTCAGATCTCAGCCTCTTGAGTAGTAAGGTATAGGATTACAGGCTTGAGCTATTACTGTCTGGCAAACATTTTTGAAAAGAGAAGTAGCTTCAAGGATTTGAACTTTTTCCAATTTTACATTGAACTTTTCTGTATGTTTTATTGTTTTAAGGATTAAATACCAAATGGATAGGAAAACTAGAAATGTCCAAAAAAGACACCTGAGATACATAGGTATCCGGTAATTGTTATTTACATTTTTTCATCTACATGAAATATTTCAAAAGTTAAAAATATGAGTAGTAACAGAGAAAAAAATTGCTATAAAGATAAGATCAAACAAGAAGGCTAGGGTAAAGTAGCAGGGCAAATATTATTGTAATACCCACTATGTCTTTTATTGTACACCAAGTGCAGTATAATCAATTGTATTGGAAAGATATATTATGGGGTGTATAAACCAGTTGTCTCTGCTATTCAATCCTAAGAAACTCATTATCTTAAGGGACTACTGCAGTCAGAAATAAATCTCTAGGGTGAAATTTAATTTAATTCTAAATGTCTCCAGATACAGTACTTCCTTGAAGTTTAGGGGCAGGATTTGTAGAGACTCTCAGAATCATCTCAGTGAGGGGGCAGACTTAAGTCTCTTGCAGACTTAAGTTTCTCACCATGTTGTCAATTTTAATAGTGTTAAGGATGCGAGTGAGTTTTCACAAAACTCTAGGTTATAGTCAGAAGAGGGAGAGGAAAACCACTATTCTAAAATACCTAATTCAGTAAATATCAATTTGGATCTCTGAAATGCAGTATCATTTTGGATTATTTGAAATAAAATGTAAAACAATATAATTACAATGATAATTTTTACTAATTTTCATTATATTTTGAGTTCTATAGCTATTTTTGTGATCATGTTGGGGGTGTTTTACTAGCTTTTCTTCAAAGATTCGGATAAATAATCTTTGGCTCCTTTATGATCTAAATCGTGTTTAAAATTAAATGCTAAATATGTACACACTGGTATTTTCTGTTCTTCTGTTCTGTTTTGTTTGTTTGTTTGTTTGTTTTTAAACTATTTGCAATGCTGGGGGTTGAACCTGGAGTCTCAAGCATGGTTACGCATACATTCCAACACTAAGCTGCACTTCTAGCCTATGTACACAGTTCTTGTTGCTAATTTCATGCTTAACAATAGAATTTTGAAGTAGTTTGGACTTTTCACCCTTTTGATAAGGACACAGGATTCTTATGTTAAAACAAAATAAGTTTTTTGTATTTGTGTGCCAGTCCTGGGACTTGAACTGAGGATCTAGGCACTGTCCTTTAGCTTTTTTTGCTCAGGGCTAGCACTCTACCACTTGAGCCATAACTACTTCTGGCTCTGGCTTTTTTTGTTGTTAGTGGTGGTTAATTGGATATAAGTGTCTCATGGACTTTGCGTTCCCAGGTTTGGTTCAAAACCTGGATCTTCAGATCTCATTCTCCTGGATAGCTAGGGTTCCAGGCAAGAGTAACTGGTGCCCATCTTGCAAAATACATTTCTAAACATCCTCCAAATGTATCACTATCTGACTTAAGTAAGTACTGTTTGTTGAATTAATGGTGTGGGGCATTTCTTTACTTTTTATTTCTGTCAATAAAACATTACACAATCAGTGTTGTAGCTGTGGTGTATAGTTCAACTGCTATCCATAGCCTGATGACTCTCAGCACATTCTCTTATTCTTTCTCTTTCAGTAACTAATAGGACATTTTGTTTTACTTTTAAGGAGTTTGGAAGTAAAGGTTAGTCAAATCTCCATTCGTCTTGAAAAAGCTAACCAGATTTGTGGACATGGAAGAGCACTAGCCTTAACTTATGATGGATTAAAATGAAATTGCATTCAAAGTAGGGGCAGCTCTAGCTATTATTGTAGTGCATGGTTGAAGCATTTCCTTTAACCTTGTATAATAGAAACATTCTTTGTTTTTCCTTTTCATCAGAGCAAGTAACAAATGTTCTTAAAAGTATAGCTCTTGTCACTATCTTGTCTAGCCATCAAGTCTACCCAACTGTGCTTAAAAACCCTTGAATACTAAACCACTTCTTCAGACTTTACATATATACAATTAGTAAAATATACTCATAAGATTCACCTTGAGAAATCTGCATTCTAAAATAAACTGGAAATAATTTATTTTGGCTAGCTTTCAAAGTTTTTGAATGTTACAGTTCACTACGACTGTAGGAACATGTTGCTGAAGTATAAGTATAAAGTTTTCATTTTAAGAGAATTACATCTGCATACTGTCTCTGTAGGGTCATTTATATTATATTAGAAATGTCAAAATTAAGTATCTCAGCCTTTCTATACAATATAAGCTACTTATTTATACATTATATAAATCTATAACAAATTCCATGACACATTTTCAAGATTATTATTACATAAAATATAAAACAGTGCAAATACTAAACCTTTATAAGAACCTTACTTAAAATGGCACAAGTACCTCAGGAGATTATTTCATCTTGAACATCATCTCTGGGGATGAGTTAAGGTGTTCCCAGTGGAATATGCCCAAGAATAAGGTTCATTTTCTTGCCTCTCTTCCTTTTCCACAGATTTCTCTAGTGGTTTTAAAGTATACTCCCTTGCTATTGAGTTGTGCTCTTGTAAGTTGTGCAGCTTTATTTAGTCACTAAGAGCATTTATGAAGTGTGGTATAGTTGATACTGGATGTTTCTGCCTAGGACTAGTTTTAAATTCTGAGTCCTTATTATTGTGATGATTTAAATACAGGCCTATGGACAATCTATTGTATATGTAAGATCCTTTCTGTCCTGAAAATTACATGTGGTTATCTTAATGTTAAGTAATAATTTGCTGTTTATTTGTAGCTATGGAATATGGACTAGTTTTGAATTGTTTCTCAGGATATTGTTTACATCGGTGTAGCCCTGAGATATTTTTCTCATCAGTGTTTAGGTTTGCACTTTTTGCCTCTTGTCCTTTTGTTTTTGTTTTTAAATTACCCACAGCCACCCTGCCCCATTGTTAATATGTTCAAAATGTAAAATTGTACTATGA